GTTCACCTTTTTCCACTAATCTGTTAACCAGTTTTTGTAATGCCTCTTGACTATAAGAGCAGTATCATCTGCACCTTGTATATTACTCTACCGTTAACTTAAGTCCTTCATAACTTCTCTCATTATGAATACATATTATACAATGTTGGAGACAGAACACAGCCTTGTCTTCCTCCCTGTCTAACTGTGAACCAATAGTTCATTATTTACTAACACTTCGGCCTCCTGTTGCCAGTAAAGATTCTTTAACACTATTATCTCCTTCATTAATGCCTAGTTTTTCCAAGATCTCTAAAAGTTTATTGGACTTTACCTTATTTTTACCCCTAACATAGCTAAACTTAACCTAACTTACTAGAACTAAACTTATCCAATCCCTAACTTAACTTAACCTACCCCTAACAGCAAAACCTAACCTAACCAAACTTAATCTAACCAATTGAAAAATTCTAAATATATCTTTTTTGTTTGTTTTTTCTTTTTTCTTTTTGGGAAGAATTAATGCCAAGTGTCGTGGTTGCAGGTCGGGTCGTGGAAGGTCATCCCCTCGTTCAGGGTCACCAAGTTCCCGTGGAGGAGTGTCTTTCACGGACAGATCCTTCGACACCACCGAGACATTGGAGACGACCTCTAACACTACCAAGACCAGCTCCGACAGAGAGGTAGGGCCGGGGGCTGAAGTGCGTCACTCGCACCTCAGTGGATCATACCATTGACTTATTGCTCCTGAATTAATTACTATCGTGGATTTATTGCAGGAAAACTCTAGTGTGACCGTAGCTTTACCGAGACAGTTGCAGTGTTCGTCACACCCTCCATGACCACACCTTTTGGACCAGGTGTACACTCCCATGACCAGGTGTACACTCCCATGACCAGGTGTACACTCCCATGACCAGGTGTACACTCCCATGACCAGGTGTACACTCCCATGACCAGGTGTACACTCCCATGACCAGGTGTACACTCCCATGACAAACACATTATTTCTTTGACATTATTTTTTAGATTTTACTAAAAAATACAAAGATAAATAAATAAAATAAACATTTACAAAAGCTCTTGTTCAGAATTGTGTAAGATATTGCCCAAAGACAAATCCACTAACTGTTACAACTACCGACTGTCACAACCACCGCCGACTGTCACAACCACTGGATCGTCACACCACTGACTGTCACAACCACTGACTTGTCACAACCACTGACTGTCACAACCACTGGCTGTCACAACCATCGACTGTCACAAATCCACTGACCGTCACAACCACTGACCGTCATAAACTTCAATGGACTGGCTCGCCAAACTTACCGACTGTCACAACCACTGACTGTCATAACCACTGACTGTCACAACCACTGACTGCTCAACCACTGGCTGTCACAACCACTGACTGTCACAACCACTGACCGTCACAACCACTGACTGTCACAACCACTGACTGTCACAACCACTGACTGTCACAACCACTGACTGTCACAAATCCACTGGCTGTCACAACCACTGACTGTCACAACCCTTTATACTTGGTTGTAGTCAGTCTCACTAGAGGCTCTTACTCAACGAAACTTTTTAGTGCAATATGATACAGTACTGGACAGTATAAAGATGAACTAACCCAACCTAACACTGGCTTAACCCAACCTAACACTGGCTTAACCCAACCTAACACTGGCTTAACCCAACCTAACACTGGCTTAACCCAACCTAACACTGGCTTAACCCAACCTAACACTGGCTTAACCCAACCTAACACTGGCTTAACCCAACCTAACACTGGCTTAACCCAACCTAACACTGGCTTAACCCAACCTAACACTGGCTTAACCCAACCTAACACTGGCTTAACCCAACCTAACACTGGCTTAACCCAACCTAACACCGTCATTTAAACTCAACCTAACACTCTGGCTGAATCTTGGCCCCAGCTACCTGGCTTAACCCAACCTAACACTGGCTTAACCTGTCCCAACACCGGCTTAACCCAACTCCAACACTGGCTTAACCCAACCTAACACCGGCTTAACCTTCCAACCTAACACGGGCTTAACTCCAACCTAACACGGCTTAACCCAACCTAACACTGCCAAACCCAACCTAACACTGGCTTAACCCAACCTAACACTGGCTTAACCCCACCTAACACTGGCTTAACCCCACCTAACACTGGCTTAACCCCACCTAACACTGGCTTAACCCAACCTAACACTGGCTTAACCCAACCTAACACTGGCTTAACCCAACCTATCACTGGCTTAACCCAACCTAACACTGGCTTAACCCAACCTAACACTGGCTTAACCCAACCTAACACTGGCTTAACCCAACTTAACACTGGCTTAACCCAACCTAACACTGGCTTAACCCAACCTAACACTGGCTTAACCCAACCTAACACTGGCTTAACCCAACGCTATGAGCTGTGAGCGTTAATAAAAATATGAAGCTGATATGTATCTGAGGTTCAGGAGACTAACGTGTATCATGAGCGAGAGAGAGTGTAGGACTGAGGGTAGAGTCAGGCCAGGGGTCTGGTCCTTACTGTTGACATAGCCAGGTCACAGGTCTGGTCCTTACTGTTGACATAGCCAGGTCACAGGGCTATAGGTCAGATGTCAAGAGGTCATCTGTTAGACAAGAAGATTCATTACCATACATCACTAACTTCAGTATTAGAGAGAAAATGGTAGACGCTGGCTCATAGTTTACTCACTGTGGGTGTAGTAATTATATAGTGCACATTTATATAAGTATTGCTGTCTGTTAGAAGGGGTTAATACATTGCTTGAATGGATGAAGTTGACTAAGAGAGAGAAAAGTTGCTTTTAAGACGTTCATTCTGATGTCATCTCACTTGGATGATCATCTGTTTCATGCAAATTTTTACTGTATATTAGTTAAATGGTCAGGTTAGGTCATGTCAGGTCAGAAAAGGTCAGGTTAGGTCAGATCAGGTTAGGTTAAGCTAAATAGCATAAAACAGACCGAGTGGGATGTAATTATTCATCCTTCCCACAATTTTGATACAATACAATCATCATCATTATCTCAGACAATAAATAATAATATTGTACATTTTTCAGAATCATCTCCATGCCTTAGGTCTAGAGGTGAACATCCCTGCACCGCCTCACAATGTGTTCACTGTTTCTCGTCACATGGCTAAGGAGAAAAACACATTTAGGTAAGTATAGGCTATTTCTTCTGTGTTAGTTAAGGTGGTGTGGCTACTTGTGTGGTAAGGTGTGGCTACTTGTGTGGTTAGGTGTGGCTACTTGTGTGGTTAGGTGTGGCTACTTGTGTGGTTAGGTGTGGCTTCTTGTGGATAGCAGTATATCAGTGGTTAGTGTGGCTATTTAAAAGTGTTAGTGTGGTGGCTACTTGTGTGGATATGTGTGGCTACTTTGTGTGGTTATGGGTGTGGCTACGTGTATGGTTAGGTGGGCATTTGTATGGTTAGGTGTGGCTACTTGTGTGGTTAGGTGTGGCTACTTGTGTGGTTAGGTGTGGCTACTTGTGTGGTTAGGTGTGGCTTCTTGTGTGGATAGGTGTGGCTACTTGTGTGGTTAGGTGTGGCTACTTGTATGGTTAGCTGGGGCTACTTGTATGGTTAGATGGGGCTACTTGTATGGTTAGCTGGGGCTACTTGTATGGTTAGCTGGGGCTACTTGTATGGTTAGATGGGGCTACTTGTATGGTTAGCTGGGGCTACTTGTATGGTTAGCTGGGGCTACTTGTATGGTTAGCTGGGCCTACTTGTATGGTTAGCTGGGGCTACTTGTATGGTTAGGTGTGGCTACTCATGACCACTCCTCACCCTCATGATCACTCCTCAGGGAAGATGTAATATCCACCCAAGAGGCCGGACCATCAGGGAGTGAGCCGCACCCTGTACACGGGGCCAGGCGGGCTACAGAGAGAGTCAAGATTTCCAAGTGTGACATTTCTGCAGATAAACACTATCAACAGAGGTCACACCTTCCTATATCCTCGCAGTCGGCAGCAATGAATGTAGCTGTTAAACTGAGGTACATATTTGTTTCCTTATGGTGTATGTGTGTGTGTGTGTAGTGTTTGTAAATATCTCAGTTGAAAAACACACACACACAGTACTGTACAGCTTAATAACATGTAAGATTTCTGGGGTTTTTTTACAGGAATATTGAAGTGAAAGAGAGTTTTAGAATATATACTGTACCACGTGTTAATACTGTAATTATACCAGGTGTTAATAATTATACCAGGTGTTAATACTGTAGTTATATCAGGTGTTAATTATTATTATACCAGGTGATCAGACTAATTGTGTTATAGTAAATGTTTTTCTTTGCCTCTACTCAGTACAGGCCAACAGTCAGTCTCTCCTTTGGGTAAGACACAAGTTAACAGCTCTCATTACATAAAGTTAAGAACAACAAAAGAAACTTGAGTTAAGTCTCCACGTTAGAAGAAGCGAACTGCTCGATGGTAGGATGTTTTGTTTTGGTCTGTTGAACGTGACTGCTCAACTGTTGGCTGCAACTTTGTGATGCATTAACAATAACATTTAATAAGATATCCCAGTGTATGTTGAGTCTTGCCGTTTGGATGAACGGCGGTGTTGTCGGCCGTCACCACAGTGAGATGCTCCCCCACGTTCTCAAATTAAATCATCGCTGAAAAAATCACTTAGTATAAAGTCTGTTTAATATAAGTGTGGGAGATGATTTTATAGTAGCTTTATACTATGGCTTGGTGATGTTTACTATAGTACGTACTGTAAACACAAGTGATATAATACATCACTTTTACATACTGTACTGTATAGTTAAAGTTGACATTCTTTATGCCATTAGCACAGTTTGTTGAGTGGCAGCCCCTAGTGGCAACAAGGTTCAGGACACAGACACAGTTGGTGGTCCACTCAATACAGGATTGAATCCATGTTATCCACTAATTGAGTCATGGAGCATCATGTACTGTACTGCATGAGGTTATGACTGTATGATGTACTGTACTGCATGAGGTTTTGACTATATGATGTACTGTACTGTATAGTGAGGCCCTGGCTCATGTGTGTGTGTGTTCTTTACAGCTGATTGTATCTCAGACTAACTAAGTGCATTTTGCCAACACAACTAACCACAGTATTTATTTTAGTGGCCAGGATGAGGAGCACATGTCCAACTCTCACTGTTGTTCACTGAGTATCCTCTCAACAGAGTATCCCCCAACAGAGTATCCTGCAACAGAGTATCCCAACAGAGTATCCCCCAACAGAGTATCCCCCCAACAGAGACTCCCCCAACAGAGCAATTTCCAACAGAGTATCCTCTAAACAGAGTATATCCCCCCAACAGCTTGTTTCGCAGCTGATAATTAAATACCATAAACATAAACCAATGCTGATTTAACTAATGCTAACCTAACCCAACCTATCATCGCTAACCTAACCCTAACCAAACTCCAACCTAACCCAACCCAACCTAATGCTAACCTAAACCCCAACCTATCGCTAACCTAACCCTAACCTAACCCAAAATGTCACGAACACCATTCACCCATTCCACTCCATCACCCATTCCACTCATCACCCACCCCACTCATCACCCACTCTCCCACCTCATTTCTCCCTGTTAGTGTCCACACCACCTGAGTACACCTGATGATCTTTACCTTATTTCTCTGTTCACTATTCTCTTCATTCTCTTCTTCTCCTTATTTCTCTGTTCACTATTCTCTTCATTCTCCTCTTCTCCTTATTTCTCTGTTCACTATTCTCTTCCCTCTCCTCTTCTTGTTTCTCTGTTCACTTGTTTTCTCTTCTCATTATGCAACAAAGTTCAAGATCACAACATAAATGGTACCACTGTCTTAGCCCTTCACTGTGTACGTGCTTGGGTGGGTGAGTGCGTGGTTGTGTGTGTGTGTTTGCGTGTGGCTGTGTGCGCGTGGGTAGGTATGTGTGTGCGTGTTAGTAATGAGGCTCTTGGTATTATAATGAATCTTGTGTTGTATGTGAGTCTTTTTCATCACTTTCTGAGGTCAACACACACACAACACACACACACACGCACACACACACACACACACACACACACACACACACACACACCACAGGAACATATTTTTCTCAGTAACCTAAAAAATTTCTGGGGATAAGAGATTTTTCAGGGTTTGAGAGAGTAATCTAGTTACCCAGAAATCTCTCATCCCCGGGAGTGTTATGCGCCAATTGTTCCAGCTAACCTAACCTAATCCTAGCCTAAAAGAGAGAGATTTATTCTTTTATTCTTCCCATTAGGAATACAGTACAGTTATACCCCAATAATCAATACATATGTGGAATGTGAAACGTCGTTACTTAGTGAATCAACGGTTATTGGGGCAATTAATCCCGTAACTTAACTAATTCAGGGGGTTAGGGACTGGTCAACCCTGGAAACTCCCATCTACCCTTGATATATCTGAGTACTGCACACTGTCAAGCAAGAAACATAAAGCAAGCATAATAAGCAAGCATAATAAGCCTTAAATAAGCAATGAAAAGTATAAATTGAGACTGTTATTTACCTGTGTTGAGGATGGTCTAGGGTGACAAGTCTCTACCACTCTTTGCTGGTCCATCACCACTCTTATTGTGCCTTATTACATCAAACTTGATAAGAGGAACAATCACTTGAGCATTTAGACATGATTATTTAACACTTGAAGTAGAAAATAATGACAAAACACAGAGATAACGAGTAAGTGTAAACAAGTGTAGAGCGGCGGGAATGAGTCGGAGTCTGGACCCCTAGGACCCCCTGGATCTGCCCCTTGATAACTGCACTGAGCATTCAAATACACTAAAGTATTATAGTAAAACCTCGATTAACTGACCCTCGATTAACCCACCCTCGATTAACCCACCCTCGATTAACCCACCCTCGATTAACCCACCCTTGATTAACCCACCCTCGATTAACCACCCACCCTCGATTAACCCACCCTCGATTAACCCACCCTTGATTAACCCACCCTCGATTAACCGACTTTCGGATTAACCGTCAATCCCGAACTCCTAATTTTTTTTTTTTTATACAGGCATTAGCTCACCCGGGCACAGGTTACTGACCCACATCGGGGCCTGAGGGGGGATAATGTAATAATATTAATAATGATAATAATGATAATAATAATGGTAATAAAGAACCATAAATAAATGCAAAAATTAAAAAAAAAATCAAGAGTGAGAAACAATATATGTATGTTGTGTCGTCAATAGTAAGAGAAACACTTGAGACCCTACATGTGTGTAAATGAGGCAGAAAGTCAGATCATCAACCTGGAACTTGGTCACAATTTTTTTGATGACATGTTCTTTGACTTTTCCACCGTTTCTGTGCTGGTTCATATTTATTTACTAAAGTGGTTAATGTTTTAAAGCAAATTCTATTGAAATATGAATGGCAAATGAACATTAAAATGAATAGAGGGAATTAAATGAGATAGGTTAGGGAAAGGTATTTTGAAAGTGTATGTTTTATTTCCGTAGACTTTATGTACTATTAACCGACCTTTCGGATTATCCGTCGGTCCCTCCCCCCATATGTGGTCGGTTAATCGAGGTTTTAGTGGAGTACAGGTGCTGCTCTTGCTGTCAATTACATTCATACAGTTTCATGTACAGTTATTGGTAGCCACTGTACACAATCACATACTTGTACACTTATTACTACAGCTGTATGTAAACCCATTATATTGACCTCTTGTATTGGTCGATATATAAAGTGGCAGCTGCTGTAGTAAGATAGTGTTGTGTAATAAAGGTTATATTG